AGAAAATAGGTAGAAGCATCCTTAACCTCCTCATGGGACAAGGAGCTTTTCCCCCAGATGTTGGGAGGGTGAGGAGGGTGGCCGTTTTGGGCTGTCAGAAGGTGGTTGGAAGTGGGAGGGGCTTTTTGTCCTGGTTCAGAGCCAAAACCCTGCCAGGGAAGAGATGGGAGCTGCTGCTGCCCAACCGGGAAGATAAAGACTAAAAAAAGAACCTAACACAGAAATGTGAGGCTTCTGAAGGCTCCCGTGGAAAGGCTAAAAACTCCGCCATCAGCTCTCTGCTATAGCCCCGGGTCAAGGAGCAGCCAGTGCAAATTTAGAAACGATGAAAAGGAGCCCTTCTTGATCTGGTGAAGAGTCACTTCAGAGGAACCAGGAGGGACGAGGTCACCGAGTCAGAGATTATTTAGAGATTATTTCTCGCGAGGGAGGGCCGAAGGGTTAGGAAGCCACCTGCTCACTCCACAGTGCAGAGGCACACACACTCATTATCTGCCTGTGCTGCCTGAATTTAAGTGGGGGATTTCCGTGGTCCCTCACTGCGGCCACAGCTTGGGGATGGTACCCAGAGCTTACCCATCTGCTTGTATGAAGTTAGCTCTAGGAGTAATAGGAGACAAGCGCTAAAATCCCAGCTCTGTTGCTTACCAGCTGTGTGACTCTGGGCAAGTTACCTAACTTCCCTGATCATCATTGTCTTGTCTTTTGATTTTTTTTTAAAAAAAATACATTTTTATTGATTTCAGAGAGGAAGAGAGAGGGAGAAAGAGATAGAAACATCGATAATGAGAGAGAATCATTGATCAGCTGCCTCCTGCATGCCCCACACTGGGGATTGAGCTCAAAACTTGGGCTGGAAATCAAACCATGACCTCCTGGTTCATAGGTCGACATGCAACCACTGAGCCATGCTGGCCAGGCTGTCTCAGCTTTTTAAAGGGGAAATAATAATGGATATGTTTCCCAGCTTAAATAAGCATGAAATAAGGAAGTTCTCGTGGTGCTGAATATAATGTAAATGCATGTATTAGCTTACATCCCTTAGTAGTCATTCATCCATTCAACAAGTAAATACAGCTCCCTCCCCCTTTCACCCGAGAGGAACTCAGTGGTTGAAGAGCAGCCTTTTCTCTTTGTAGTACCCTGAGCACCAGAGAGGCCTGATCTGGAATTGGGTGTCTTCAGTGCAAAGGAATCTTCTGAGCGGCCAGCCAGGCAGCTCAGCAATGTGTTTTCTAATCCCTTCTGGGCTGTTGGTGGGAGATCTCCTAGGAGCGTCTCCCTGGCAGCACAGCCAGGTCTTCGCTGGGAATGCTGCATGCTTTCACACCCGCTGCAGCAGAAGGCTCAGAGTGGAGGCAGGGGCAGTCCCTGGAGCCTTGGAAAACATGCCTGCCTCAAGGAGCAGCTGCTCTGGATAAGCTGACCCCATGACCATTTAGTAAGTGCCACTGGGACAGAAGGAGGCATTGGCAATAGGAGAGGCTTAGGGTCCAAAACCCCTAGCCTAAACCCATGAGTTGGATCCTGGCTTGCTGCTGGAGACCTCTCCCATACATGGAACCAATTAGCAGGCTAATGAACTAAGAGTATAGTTCAGTGGCATTGGGATTCTGGCCTCTTTGTTTCACTGAGAATCCTTAGGCATTTTATCAACAGAGCTTTCATTTTTTTTTTGGTCCCTAATGAGTTATATTTTTACTACAAAAAGGCAACGTAGATTGATTTCATGAAGCCTCAAATGTGTTAGAAATTCACGATTAGTCACTCAGCAATTCATTGTTGAGGGAGAGCCTCCTCTATGCCAGGTACTAGGACTACAGAGGCAAATTTGAGACAAGTTTCCCGTCCTCATGGCCTCACAGTGTAGTGTGGACAGATAGACTATAAACAAGTAAGTTTATAAGCTAACCAGCTAACTTCAGGCTGTGATTAGTGCACTGGAAGGAATGAGCAGAGGGGCCATGGTGAAAAGTGAACCGTGGCGGAGAGGTGGAGATGGTGGGGAGGAAAAATATCCAAGGAGAGAATGTGGCCATGGAAGGCCTCTCCAAGGAGGTGATGTATACGTGGAGACTCAAAGGTTGAAGATAAGCAGACACGGAGACCCAGACACAGAGAACAGCAACGGTGCTGCCCTAAGTGGGAAAGGTCTTGATTTAAGGAACAGAAAGACCAAGGGGAGAATGTTATGAATGAACTCAGAGAGGTCAACAGCACCTGTATCGTACAAGATCCTATAGGTCATGAAGGATTTTGTATCTATCCAATTGTAGGGCCTGGATTGCATTTTTAATAGTTAATCTTGGTTGTTATGCAGGGAAGGATTTACAAGTAGAGGGCAAAGACAGGAGCAGATACATCTCTTAGGAGGCTATTGCAAAGTCCAAGGGAGAAGTAATGGTGTTTTGATCCAGGTCTAGATAGTGGAGGGAAAGATGGTGGCAAATTAATAAATTAGGGTTGGAGGAAGGAGTGGGGGGTGGAGAGGAAGGAAAGAGGGAAAGGAAGGAATTAAGGGTGATTCTAGGTTTGGGGCTTGAGCAATTTGATAGATGATGGTGCCATTGATGGAAATGGGGAAGAATAAGTTTGGAAAGAGAATTCAAGACCTGGCTGGTGACTCCGATGGAATTTAAATGTTCTTGGGCCTCATTTGTGGCTTGAGCAGAACTGAGAACTTTCTCAGTTTTCAAGAGCTACAAGGGATTTCTCTGGGCTTCAGGCAAGGTGACACCTTATGTTCAAACAGATGTGGTGCCTTCCCCAAGGATGATCTCAGTGATGGTATCTCACACCTGCCTCCTCCATGCATGACACCCTCCAACAAGTGGTTCCAGCTAGTTAACCCAAATTCCTCTTGCAACTACCTGATGTCTGTCCTCATTTCCCTATCTTCGACTAAGTTGTGGGTGGCTTCTCGTATTCTATTTATCTGCCCACTAAGTCACAGGAAGCACAAGTCAGGCTATGTTTTATGACGTGTGATCTGTCTAGCCCAGAGCTTGTTGCAGACAAGGGCATGGGACCAGATTTTGGGAGATTATGAGAGTTGCTCCCCATCCTACCACCCTTCACGTTCCAAGTCCCTCAACCTATTTTGGGATCTAGCATCCTGCTTCAGCCACTTCTTTCTTAACCTGACTTCTATTTCCAGCCTGTACCATATCTTGGGTCACCAGTTCTATTTATTGATTTCCCCTTATTTTTTTTACTTAATGGCTGGAAATGATAAGATCCCCTTATTTATTACTCTCAAACCACCAACAAGGTCATGCTGCTCTTAGTAACCATGGTTGCTATTTATTAAACACTTACTAGGGAAACATGCACCCTGTCAAGCACTTCCCAAGCATGATCTCATTTAAGAACACTATGAGGTAGGTGCTAGTATTCCACTTTACAAATGAGACTTGGAAAGCTTTGGCGAGTTGCCTGATGTCACCAGCTAATGAGAGGTGGGGGCTGGATGAGACCCCAGGTGTCAGTCTCCAATGCCATGCTCTGGAGGAAGGAAGGGCAAAGTGTTGTGGCCTTTTGGAGGTTGAACATTCACCTTCCTACGGTGGCTAGCCAGGTGTGTCTGTGATTGGGGTGGGTGCGGCAAGTAAGGAGGGGATAGAGTCTTTGTTTTTGAAGCACTGGGCACTGGGGGCCAGGGTGAATTAGTAACTGCTGCTACATCCACTCCAGGAGCAATGAACCCACATCTGCTTCTGTGGGATTGACAGTGTGGACGAAGGAAGCTCTGTAGACACCCAGCTCTAAGGGTGATTTGAAAAAGCTCGGAGGAGCAGAGAGGTTGTCCCAAGTCAGAGTGTGAAAATATTCCTGCTTTATAACAACAAATAACAGGAGGATCTGAAGGCCTCAGTCTCCTCAACAAGGGCCAGGCCTCTGAGTCTGAAAGGGGGCACGCCCACAGGCAGCTGACAGGGTTTCTGCGTGATCCCGTCCTTCCTACGGCTGAGGGAGACTCAGCTCCACACCTGCCCCATCCAGCAATATCTCACACCCCCTGGGCCAGGCCTAAACATCTTGACTCAGGTCGAGTCCTGAAATATCCCCATCTTAAGCAAAGGTTGGAAGAGGCCTGGCCTACGTCCATTTTTTAAAGCTCCTAGTAATATAGAAAAAAGAAAAGAAAAGAAAGAAATACAAAACAGGGTGACTAAAATTGGTTTATATTTTTCAATGTTTAAATTAGCAAAGTAACACCTTTTAATATAAAAACCAATATAATTGTGCTAGTCACAATATCGCCATAGGGTTTATAAACTCATCACAATTCAGAGGATGCTGGAGTTAATGTGACCTGGTCCATGTTTCCCTGGGGCTGCAAAGCTCATTTGGAGAGAGAGAGCCGTGCTAGCTTCTGAGGCCCATTGTGGAGTCCCAGAATGTGCAACTCAAGCCGAATGGAGCCTCCTGGGTTCCCTGTGACAGTCACTGCCTAGGGAAAGGGAGAAGTTCTGCTATTTTCAGTCAAGACTCCCACCGGCCAACTCCCCCCGCCCGCTTTACTATAAAATAAAGCTTTCAGATCAACATCAGCTGGATAAGGCAGCATGCATTATGGGAGGACCTAAATGCCTGAGCCATTATATGTGTAGTATTTCATGGCTCTTGAACTGCCCTGGGATGGTATAAGCATTATTCAACCTGCTGTATACCAGTTAAAGGATTTGTCCAAGGTCACATAGCAAATCCAGGACCAGAACCCAGAACCTTTGACTGTAAAGCCTGTGCTCTTTCCATCACATGATCATGTGTCTTCACATCTGGTCATGTCATGAAGCCACATGAAGCCCAGGAGGGGCCCGGTGAGGCAGGGAGGGGACGGGGGCAGCCCCTGTCCTTCATGCCCCTGTGGTGTTGGGACAAACTTTGACCTTTCTGGACTTTTTCACTGTTTCCTTCTCTTCCTGTTTCTTCTCCTGGCTGGCTGGCCCCCCTCCCCCTCTACTCCTTGCTTATGATACTTATTTTTCCATCCACAGCAAAACAATTCCCATCAAGTTAATTGATGGTGAGGCGTATGAGAAAAACAAGAATTACTTCATTGAGATGATGGGCCCCCGCATGGTGGATATGAGTTTTCAGAAAGGTGTAGTACCCTGTCCTCCACACTAACATTACATTCTTCTCTCCTCTTCTGTTTCTTTCTTTCTTTCTCCAATCTGTGTGTCTCCTCTTCCCCTTTCTTCTACCTCTCTGGTTCCCTTTCCCTTGTTTCCTTTCTTGTTCTCTCTTTTCCTCTCTCCCTCTTTTCTCTTTGCTTCCAGCTGTGTCCTAACATCTGCCAGCCTGTCACATGGTATCTGTAAGAGGGATGCTCAAGAGCCAGTGGTAATTTTTGTAAGATTGGTAAATGGATATTGGGAAAAACAGAGAGAGAGAGAGAGAGAGAGAGAGAGAGAGAGAGCCACAGCCCTGAGAGTATGTGTATGAGGCTCCCTAATTCTCCTAAATGGCATAATATACAGGAAAGAAAAAGACCAGATAGCACAGTGCCAGGCAGGACAGCAGCCCTTGGAAATTCGCCAAGGTTCTCAGCACGAATTTTCATGGGGCCGCTATTCTCAGGGCTGAGCTTACGGTCCCTGGGCATTGAGAATGACTGTATTTAGATTTAGATTCTGTTTGTGGTTCCTCCCATTCCCCAGTGCAGGCCTTGGGAGCTATCTTATCTGTTATATTCCCTGCTCTCAAGGTGTGCTTCTCTCCCTGACCTTGACAGAGCTGAAAGCACAGGTTTGAGTTCCAGGTCTAGGTCAAAGACCTATTTGCAGTTCTCTGCTCTCCCTATGAGGAGCATCTAGATAAGGAGGCAGAGAGTTACAAGAGTGGGAAAGAGGATTCTGACCTGAGTGGAAGCTTCACCAAGAAGTCAAAGGACTTCTCAGAGTGGATGGAGCTTTTGTCTCCAACTTAAATGGCCCATACACTCCAGGCCTCTAAGAGGGAAGCCGGAAAATCCTCTTCTGGATAGATAACACTGTGGCGGGGGAGCTGCTGGTATTTTCAGCAATACACCTTCCCTGGCAGAACTGTCAGTCATATTCCTTCAGGCCCTGCCCATGGTCACACAGCAGCCCGCTCCCATCATACAGCCGAGTCCCTGCAGTGGGACAACAGGCTGGGCTCACATCTCGTAGACAGCCCAGGATCTGGGGCCTAGGGAGAAGTTCCCATAAAATGCTTCTTGACGATCAGTGAGTTTTATCTTTTCCACTAAGCAAGGTGTCCCAAAAAGTGCTAGAAAAGTGACCAAAAAGTGTACTCACAAAACACACACACACACACACACACACACACACACACCAGCAAGTCCTGTGCCTAACAAACCAACTCAGATCAGCCTACGTTTTCATACAAAGCAAAGACGAGCCTGCCTTTAAAATGGAGGAGGAACTTCAGCAGCTCTGATTAGACATTTTAGGCTATTGTTTATTAGCACTTTGCCCTTTAGAAAGCATTTAAGTCCAGAGAGAGAGAGAAAAAAATCATGGCTCACTGTTGAGATCCACCCGGTTCCATGGAGGAGCCACACAGGGAGATCCAAGCCCACACAGCAACTCCATGATGATGGGCCTGTGCCAGTCTCATGCCAGTCTTCAGGGGGGAGCTATTTTCAAGAAAACTTTGATTCTCTGATGATTTGTTTTTAAAAGACACAGTGTTGTTGAGATGCCCAGAAATGAACAGAAACCCCCATCACCTTGTCCCTTGGATCCTTGGGATTTAAAATGTGATGATTTACATCATGTTCTTCACGCTTTCCCAAGAATGCATCAGGTGTTAATAGTAAAGGAGTTTTATATCAGATAGTATTAAAACATCTTATGTTAGTTTCCGCATGGAAGCCCTGTGAGATAAAGAATGAGATCATAGGATTTCACCCTCGATGCTTTCTCTCTCTCTGTCTCTCATTTCCCTTCCTTATACTTCCCTAATAAAATTTTCTTTATGAAGCTCACATAAGAAGTGGGTATATACACAAGGAATGGAAATAAATTCCTAGCTAGTTCTGTTGACATATTTCCTGTAGTAGAAGGCTACTGGGTCATACCCAGTAGTTTACCTGCTGCCCAAAGAAATGCCACTGTTACCATGTGACACCCAGTGGAATGTGCTGCCCAACTCACTTCCTACTAACCATCAGCAGGATCTGAAATGACTCCTCCCCACCATCAACCCCCTCTCCCTTACCACTCCCTGCTGTCCTTCTGGATCCCTTTCATCCCTTTGCCCTCTTTTCTTTGCCTCCTGGCTCCCTTTCCCTCTCATCCATAAGGACAGTTATGACCAAGAAGACAAAAAAAGCTAAGACCATTTTTTAAACTATCAGAACAATACAATCCACCTTAGTCTTGTCAAAGCCACCACGGCGGGACTGGGCTGCATGTGCCAAGAATGATGGGGGATGATTTTAAAGGCTGTGCTCCAAGTGACCAACCAATTTGCCGACCCATTCGACACACACTCTCTCTCTTGTTGTCCCTACAGGAAAACCGTAAGGGTTAAAATAGTAGATGAGGAGGAATACGAAAGGCAAGAGAATTTCTTCATTGCCCTTGGTGAACCGAAAAGGATGGAACGTGGAATATCAGGTGTGAGATTCTTTAAAAAAAAATAAGAAGACAACAAAAAGAAAAAATTTTTAAACAAACTGAAAAGCAACAACAAAAAAAGCAACTATATTTTTTTCTCCCTGTTTTTTGTCCCTTTTCCTCCTTCCTCCTTTTGACCAACATACTTTTTTTTATTCTTTTCCCTCCTGTATTCTCGCTCTCACCCTGTTTCGGTATCATCTCTGCCTTCTCAGCCTTAGCTTATTTCCAAATCCTCCTTTCCCACCTTTTGGGCAGCACTGCAGCCTCGGCTCCTCATTACCTTCATGAGTTACTTCCGCCTTGTGCTCCAATGATCTGATTACCACTGTCCTCTGCACTCTCCCCTGCAGCACCCCCCCCCCAAAACACACACACACAATAACCTGTAAATGTGGGGATTCCTTGGTGGGTGGGGAGGAGAAGAAAAAGAAAGGAATGTGATGCAATGCATGCTGGTGCCCCTTCCCTGCCTTCTTCCCCTCCCACCCCTCACACTCTAGCCTGGATTGAATGGGGGAGGGGCTGATGGGGGACTGGGGCCCATGTTGCAATGATGCTTTGACCGTTTTCTGCTGCGTTCCCCAACCTCCGTTGAATGCTTGGCAGGTTATTCACTTGCAGAGTGTCCCATAGGCCCCTCTGCCCTTCATGGAGGTAAGTGTTTTATCTGGCTATTTCACAGTTGGGTAGACAGTGGCATGAAAAGGTATGCCATTTGTCAGAGGTCACAGCTTCTGAGAACTCTATGAGAGAGAGCTGGCTTCTGAGGTTGTCATGTAATCTGCAATCCTGAGCTATTCTTCCCCCCTTGGCATCCCACCCCATCCCATTCTACCTCTGTTCCTAGTCCAAGGTGGGGTACCTGATTCAGGCTACTTTAGGATAAGGCAATCCTTAAAGCAGAAAATTGAGAGTCTGCAAAGGGAAGGAAGTCTCCTTAGCCCTGGAGAAGGACTGACAGTGGGCAGGCCTAGAGTATTGACTTTTCCAATTGGAGAAGGGACTCTAAATGGTGTAGCTGGTGCTGATCCTTAAGAAACGGGTGTTGAATGGTTCACAGAAGGCTGCCTTTGCTTCATATCTGCAAATGAGCGTATTACACAGCTCCCAAGATAACCCGGATCCCACACCAGAGAAGTGGCCTCATCTCCTTTCTTCTGGACACGCTGCCTCTTAGAATACCTGCCAGGGTTCCATTTCTAAGGGACTGGTTATGTTGCAGCCAAGGTAGAGGTAAGGAAAGATTTCTTCCCTTGAAGAAAATGATTGGAAGCCACTACTTGGAAAGTGTTGGAGGAATATGTATGGGAATGGGTAAGGGTGCCCTTGGGAAATACCAAGAGGAGGACATACTCACTCCCCTCCAAGAGACATATGCTGCTGGGAGTCTTGTGGAAGATTAAACAGACACACCTGTTTGTCAGAAGGTGTGATGATTCTGCAATTACTTCATATCTGCAAGGACAGATCTAAGTGATTTGGCAACTATACTTCCAAAGAACTGTATTTCACTGACAGGTCTTATTCTCAGACCCATAGGCTTGATCAGTTCTCATTATCTCCTGTGGACTCACTCTGCAGACGGGACCACCTCTGTACCCACACTGGTTTGGACACACCTGGTGTTCTAGAAGCAGAAGCCCTCTCCATCGTCTATTGCTCGTTTTCTCCTTGGCCACTCAATAAGATGCTGCCATGAGCCTGACTGCCAAAGAGCACTGGAAGAAAGAACGAAAGAAGTCTCTGACTCCATTGCTTCCCACATTGTATTCCTGCCAATCCTCCAATTTCTGCCACTGAGAATATTCTCAGAAATTGCCTCAACACCTGCCCTACCTCATTCCCACCTCCCTTGTGCATTTACTCCACATTCTCATGATTGGCTGGATGCAGCAGTCACTAGCTTCATCAGTTTTCAAGTCCCAAGAACTTTGGTGTAAATGAAAGCAGCAAAAAGGGCCATATCTTTCCAGGGTAGCTGGAAAGAAGGCAGGGGCTCCGGACAAGACGAATAGGTTAGAAGTCTGTCCACGACTTTATTCCACCAGTAAAGAGGCTCTTCTTTTCTGCCCCCCCAATAAATTCCTACCAGCAGCAGGACAGACAGTGACCTAAGATAAACCTTGGTCAAACACAGATACCCGTGGATTCTCTACATTTGAGGACCCCTTTGTGCTGCACTAGATTCTCTGTCCAAGGAGATGTCAGTAAATCCCTGATGGAGCCTAGTCCCGGAGGAGGGCATAGGTAAGAAGACAAAGATTTCATCAAGTCATCTGTGTGATATGCCCCAGTTCTTCCCAATGACCAAGATGCCAAGATGAAAGGTGCCAATAGGAAAGATGTCCTTTTCCTAGCCTCCTGTTCTGTTGTCTACTAGTATGGGGTTAATTTTTGGTTTCTTCAGTTCTTTCCATATTTTGGCACCAGACTATAAAGTGAAAGGTCATAAAGCTTGAATATCTAGACTCTGAATCAAATGAAAATCTATCCTGATTTCTAGAATTCCCTGCTGTTGTTGGAGTGAGAAATAGTACAGTGGAGATTGCTCTTCATTATCACTGTTGCATGGCATTCAGAATAGCATAGTCTCTGCATGGTCAAAATGACAGTTGCATTCTCAAAAAAGAAAAGTAAAGGACTGGATTTGAAATAGGAGATTGTATTCTTGGCAAACAAACCAGAGGTGAGATTAAAAGTTTTGGACAAGCTGGGGGAGGAGAAAAAGGAGGATGACTAGGAAACACCATTGCCCTGGAGTAGAGTAAGTATTGGGGTCTAGAGTGGACTTCTGAGAGCAATGCTGAGTAGCACAGTCAAGGGTGTTGGGCCTGGGCCTGGGCCTGGACATGGGAAGTCTCAGTTGGGAAGGGAAAGCACTTTCCCCCCCAAAATGGGGCCTGTTTGTGCCTCCTCTTAACACACTCATGGGCTCCCTGCGACAAGCTGCCCAGATGCTTCCAGTTGCTCGCAAAGCTGTGTTGTTTCCTGCTTGCCCCTGGGGTAGCTGAGCAGGGGGATAGAGGATGCTCACCTCACCCCAGGAATCAATCTAGGTAAAGGTTTAGCTTCAGCATCTCTCAGCAGCAGTAGCAGGAAAAACGCCCGGAGGGTATTGTGTCACTCAAAGCTGGATGAGATGGAACTCACTGACCCATCTTTAACTGCTAGGTGGAAGGTCTCAGATTCATGTTGAGAATGAGCAGAGAATGATGGAATTGCAGATGACTGCAAGCCATCTGGCTGTGCTAGGGATGATCCTGGTGTTAGGAGGCATGTCAGACTGAAAAAGAGGGCAGCAGGGACCTTTAATAAGAGTTGCTCCTTGTCTGACCTACTGGGTTACTTGGGTCTCTGGTCTCCACTGGAAATGGGGCCCAGGAGGGGCTCTTTCATGCAGATTTATAAAAAGAGGAGAATGAACTATCTATCTATCTATCTATCTATCTATCTATCTATCTGTCATCTATCATCTCATTGAAGTAAGGCGATCCATTGATCCATTACCCCTTGGAATTCCATATGGGAGAAACCAGAAAAAGTCAATTGATGTTCTCCCTGAATTTATACCATAAATATCCTGGATACACATGTGTCTTCAGGGACTGTGACTATGGGATGATGGGTCACAGGTCTGAGTTGTATTTCTAGAGAACTTTGGAACACGAAGGCCACCATCCAGAGATGTAGCACCACAGGATTTATGAAAAATATTAATTGCCAAAGCATTTAGCAAATAGCAAACCTTTATTGAACAACTACTAGTTGCAGTGACCACCAGGCACAGGGATTCCAAAACTGGTAGGAGTGTACAGCCCTGACTTCCAGGCTACCTCTATTTTAAAAACACACACACTCAAGGAAAACGTTCTACAGGTCTTTCTTTCAGGGGAACTCAAAGCTCTGGTAAACACAGTAGCTATGAAGCCATCTGTGGCGGTGGAAATGTTATAAGCACTGGGAGGCTGCGCATGATCTAATTATGAGGTTAGGGATAGAAGACAAAATGGGGCCCGGCTCCACTGTAGTACAACATTACTCAATGCCCTGAGCTCCTATTCAAGCCCCAGAGTCATATTCTCCACAGATGAGCCAGCTCCTCTGGCATGCTGGGTTCTTACTCCTTTCCAGAATGGATGTCATAACCTGATTCCTTAGGAGATCACGAATGGCCAACCATGTCTCTACTTCACCCACTTGGTCCCCCATCCTCACTCCTCTATCCCTTGACCCTCAGAGCTGCAGAGAAGGTGTGGGTAAACCTGCCATAACTGCAGGGCCCTGGTGCTCAGCAGTCTCTCCAGCGGCTCCCACCTCTTGCTGCTGCTGCTGCTGCTGCTGCTGCTGCTGCTGCTGCTGCTGCTGCGCATGCTCCAAGTGCTGCCTTTCGCATGTGGCTGCGGAGCTCTCACCTACTGAGCTCACTGCCTTTTCTGCTGCTGCAACCACAAAGCCTGGGGACACTTTCAAGATGGGACCTTAATGCTCTTTCCTTTTCTTTCTCCCCTTGTCTGGTATCCATTTGCAAACAGCGCTCCTGTTGTCTCCAGGTAAGAGGTGCCTTGCCTCCCTCTCCTTCCTACTTCTTGCCAATGCCATTATTCAGGTTAAGACTAATGTCCTGTGGTTTACTTAACAGGAACTATAAGCTCGAGTTAACCTGACAAGTTCTCCTAAAAGCCACGAAATTTATTTCCTCACTTGAAGTAACTGAAAGGAAATAGACAATGTCTTGAGCACCGTTTCTGTTGGTGCTCGTGGGCAAAGGCATAGGCTGGTCCTTTCTGGGACCAGGAGGGGATGGTGGATCATCAGCTTCTCCCAAGTCTTCATTGATCTGTCATCTCAGACTGTGAGGCAAGAGAGGAGATGGGAAGTTAGAGCTGAATCTCCCAATAGGATCACGATAGCATTTGAAAGAAAATACTTTGATCTTGAGCAATCCAGGGAAAAAGAATCAGGAGCTGCTGTGAGACCATGAAAAGCAATTTTTTAAGAATCTGGAATTTTACTGATCCTGGAGATCTTTCATGTTAGCACAGCTGAGGTTTAAGTTGTTAGAACTTTGATTTATTTGTCACCGATACTTGAAGTCGAATGTGCTGTGGATAGCAAGGAGAATTAAGATATAATGGAGGGTGGGGATAACTGTCTGGCTGGAAATAGAAGTTTCAGAGATTGTCTCTTAGAGGGATTCTAATGCAGTATCTCGAGCTTGTCGTAGGACATACACCTACTTGGACAGAGTGCTTGGATCAGTGGGGTCCAATGGTAAACAGCTAACTGTGAGCAGAGAGGAAAGCGTGTCCATCTCATCCAGCGACACCATAGCTCAGTGATGGTGAACCTTTTGAGCTCGGCGTGTCAGCCTTTTGAAAAACCCTAACTTAACTCTGGTGCTGTGTCACATATAGAATTTTTTTGATATTTGCAACCATAGTAAAACAAAGACTTACATTTTTGATATTTATTTTATATATTTAAATGCCATTTAACAAAGAAAAATCAACCAAAAAATGAGTTCCCGTGTCACTTCTGACACGCATGTCGTAGGTTCGCTATCACTGCCATAGCTTGTGGTGCAGGTGAAGTGAGCACTATGAGATGGCTCAATATATTTTGAAAGAACATTTTGCATTTTATTTATTTATTTTTTAAAATATATATTTATTGATTTTTTACAGAGAGGAAGGGAGAGAGATAGAGAGTTAGAAACATCGATGAGAGAGAAACATCCATCAGCTGCCTCCTGCACATCTACTGGGGATATGCCCGCAACCAAGGTGCCCTTGACTGGAATCAAACCTGGGACCTTTCAGTCCGCAGGCCAACGCTCTATCCACTGAACCAAACTGGTTTCGGCGACATTTTACATTTTATAAGTTCTTTGAACATACGAGAAATTCAGGTCATTTAAGAGGCAAAGCATCTTATAGGATTCATTGGTGTTCAAAGCCACCGATTCACTACTCCCCGGGTTTCAGAAAGGGGAAGTGTACATAGTAAGGACATTTCCCTCTTTGGAACAGTAACAAAAAATGTAGGCAAACCCCTGCATTTTCAGTTCCTGAAAAAACCATGACTCCAGCATCCTTGGCCTCTTGTTCCTTCTTCATACCAATAGGATAAGAACTATTTCCAACCCCATATTTTCCACTAGTCTCCAGGGTATTGATGTCTAACACTGGGCGTTCCTTTTCCACTTCACTCATCCTCTTGCCTGAGAAGGTTTTTGGGCTTCTTTGTTCTAACTTTTGCCTCCACCTCCCACCAACCATACATAAAAAAGACTATGATTTAACTTAAGCTTCTTTATACTTTTAGCATATTTGCACAAACATGAATAGAAGCTTAAAAAGGAAAAGAAGGTGTTACAGTATTTCCTACATCTTTCAATCCAAACCTGCTAAACCTGTAATTTAGGAGCCTTTGCTTAGACTTTATATTCACTGGAAATTTTAAATCTTTGTTTGAATTTTTCTGAAAGGACAGGCAAGCATGACTAACAATGCCTGGTGGTGAAAGATGGAGAGTAAATACGTTCATTCTGAGCTACTGCACCAAGTGCAGGGACGCGGGAGTGAGAGCACGGGTGGCATCGCCCCACTTCTTCCCGAGGATGTCTATAGAGCATCCCTGGCAATTTATTCCTGTCAGGCCTGGCAGGCTCTTTGTTCTTCCAATATTTGCTCAGTTTTTCATCCTATTCTCTCTACCTCCCTCCCTCTGCCTCTCTGCCTCTCTCTTCCCCCTCCTCCTTTTTCTAGATTTGAGAGTTTATTTAGTCAGTCTGAATATCAACATCACTTGCCATTTATTCTCTTTTTGAAATTCTGAAGAGTCACATAAACAAGTGATCAGAATCACTATGGACTTTCAGGTTTGAGATTTACTACTCCAGAAATTAATTTGAACTTAAGGAATGATTATTACAAAAATATAAAAAGGAAGGAATTATTATAAAACCAAGACACTAAGTAAGAGTTGATTTAAATGGAATATACATATATATATATATATTTGTGGCTGAGGGAGAGCCAAAGATAGAGGGTTGGTTATTTGTCAAAGACATTTCTGCAGAAAAGCTAGATGGAAAAACTGACTGTCACCACAGGGTGGACAGGTCAGTAGGTTGATCAATATCCCGCCAGGTGGATATAATGCTAGATTGATTGCTAGACATGGGGTTAGACAGGTACATTTATATGTCACTGGGGAGCTCATTATATTGGTATATAGTTCTTGTGGCACATGTAAAGTATGACATGGGGGAATTGGGGAGGGGGTGGTGGAATAATACTGTCGCTGCTAGAATAGTCATTGTTATGTGGTGCCAAAACCCACAGATAGAGGAAAAGAGTACCCATGCTTTTAAGGAATCTGTGTCTTTTTCCGAAGGCTTTTTCTCAGAATGGCTTGTAGTCTGGCTTCTAGGATTGCTAATTTTATAACCAGAACCCTGGATGTACCCAGAATTACCTTCAGAATTAACTAAGGAGAGACTCATAATTAAAGAATTAAAAGAAGCCAGGCTGCTAGAAGGTGTCTGCTGACTTAGAAGTATACAGAGGAACACAGAACCTGGAGAAATAATTATTGCTGAAAGCCATCACTAGCACTAACATTAGGACAGCACCACGGACAGCTCCCAAGCATTTTGGAATTGCCTTCTGTGTTTGGTGCCAGAGCCTTGGGTAAAACAGCCAGCTCAGGAATCCTCTGTGCACTCTCTTACCGTCTTCATTCAGGCCGACTGAGAAAATCCATACATAAAATGGGCTCTCTGCTCGGTAACTTAGACCCTTGGCTTAGAGTCCACTCAGTAAATTTCCTTGCAACCTCAAGAGCTTGAGTCTGACCCCTCCCCACCTCTCACCAGTTCCCAAGACAGAGAAGAAGATCTTGTTGGCCTCTGACCCATTTTATCTTTGAGATTATCCAAAGACCAGAGGATTTCCCTAGGATACTCACTGTGTGGAGCGAAAGCCATTAAGGAACGGAACCAAAGAAGTAATTGCATGCAAGAATGTGGACTTGGATGGGAGAATGTTTAAGTAAGCTCTGAAAGAAACAGGCTGCCAAGACCAATTACCTAATTAAAGGGGAATAAAAAGATTCCATCTCTATTTCACTGCAATCCAGAACACAGGTCTTCATGGTGAAAGGGTCTTAAAATGGACTCCCCAGCTGAAGTGGAAAAAATTTCTAACTGTTCCACGTGAGGAGGGACCACTAGTAAATGAGTCAAGATGCTGCAGGACAAAGGAATGCCATCAAGGGAAAGTAAAGGCAGATCTCTCTTTTGTTGTGTTTTGTTTTTGTTTTTGTTTTTTTAACAAATATTGGTGTTCCAAAAGAAACATGCCTGCTTCCTGTTGGAAAATCATGAAGTTTTTTGGGGAAATCTTTCAAGTTTCTCATTGTGAGGATAATATCCATGTGTATGAAATGTAGATATTCCTGGAAACAGCCCTGATTTCTTCTTTATAAAGGGGACAGTGCCAAGAGTGCCAGAAGCTGATGTTACTATGAACCAGTGGACATTACCCTTGGATTAAATGTGCCTCTGACCTCCAAGAACTCTTACATGGAGTAGCTGAACAGTCAGGCACACAGTTCAAAATTGTTAAAGATCCAGAGATCAGTTCCCACCTCTCCAATATCTCACCAAATAACTTAGGGACTGACTTCCCTTGGAGGAATTTCTCAGAAGGTCAGGTTGCTCGCTGAGGTATAAAATGGAAAGAAGGGTGCTTATGCCAGGCCTGCAAGGAAGCCTTGATAGTCTGATGGTCATAGAGTGTCCAGTGCTTTATAGAAAGAGGCACCCCAAAGTACACAGAATCCCAAGAGCTACGTGTTTTCTGCACCCTGCCCAGGCCTACTACTCTTGAGCGTTCGATGTTTAGGGGAATGGAGAGCGTGCTAAAGCTGGTCTGGTTTTGTTTTGTTGCAGAGGTGACAGACAGGAAGCTGACTGTGGAGGAAGAGGAAGCCAAGAGGATAGCAGAAATGGGAAAGCCAGTATTGGGTAAACACCCCAAACTAGAGGTCATCATTGAAGAGTCCTATGAGTTCAAGGTCAGGCCATAAGTGAAGTCAAATTGAGTAATGCACCGGTGGGAGGGAGACGACCCAGAGTTTTGATCCCGGTTTACCACTGAACTTGTGAACTTGTAGTGCTAACCATTTTGTATCCAAGGAATATTGTGAGGACACACAACATAGCATATGGAATAAATGGGCTCTAAAGCTTCTAGATGTGTCATTGCTATGGCTTAGCTGTATTTTTAAAACAAAGATACTAAAATTTACTACTCCAGAGCAAGGTTTATTGATATTATCACTGTTGTTCACTGTTGTATTACTCTAAATATCCAATGTCAGCAGTCACAACCAAAGGAAAGGGAAATGGAAGGACTGCCCCAGCAGCTACCCCGCAAGGCCATTCCATGTGTAACTTGCAGAATGCAGGCGGAGCGCCCTGGGATGGAGGGCATCTTTCATTCCCTTGAAACACTAGACTCCTCAATGGTTCTGAGAATTCTAACCTCATGGTTCCAAGTTTGTATCTCCCTGACAGAAAACGGTGGACAAACTGATCAAGAAGACAAATATGGCCTTGGTCGTGGGGACCCATTCCTGGAGGGACCAATTCATGGAGGCCATCACCGTCAGTGCAGGTGAGAGGGTCTCAGGATGGGCACAGGCCTTGCTTGGAGAAGCAGGTAACAGCAGAGGAATAAAACAGCCACATCGACAGCCTGCCAGTTTCTGGGAAGACCTCTGTGTCCGGTCTCTCCAGCTCTAGCCCAGATGCTTGTCTGTTTCACTGGGTCAGACTGACCAGTGGGACACCCCAGCTCATTTCCACTGGGAGGAATCATGGGGCAACTAAAAGAGCAGGGCTATCTCTGGCCCAAGACCTGGTTCTGCCATCCGAACTGGGACAAGTTATCCTGTCTGGGCCTCAGTTTCTTTGTCCCTAAAGGGAACTTTCGCTACCTTTCTCAGAAAAGTCAGTGAAAGGTATCTCACTGTGAGGATAAGGTCCACTTGTATGAAATATAGATATTTAGTCTAGTACTAACCACAAGCTCCATCAGTTCTGGTTCCAACATTCCTTCCTCTCATTAATTTGGTCCTCGTTTTTGTAAAATGGACCCAGAGTTTTGTTCCAATTTTACCACTGGATTTTTGAACTTGAGACGGGGGATTTGGAGTTTATGACACTTTGCTTTCACTCTCTGACACATCTCCAACCCGGATGATCCCTTTCCTTTGGCATTTACTGACGGGTCCCCTCAGGGGGACCACAGTGCAGCCAGCGTCCCAAAGGCCCACCAGCCTTTTGGAATGGGATGCCACGGCTCTCATCACCACCACCAATATAGCCTCTCAGCACCACTGAGGCCTCCTTGTACCGCCTTACTCTTTCATGAGACTTTATTGTCATAGCAACCCATGGGGTCCTATCCCGAGGCCCCAGAGCCATTGCAAAGCACAGCCAGAAAGAGAGGGCTGATGCTGCTGCGGCCGCTGGCCCACTTTCACCTGGCCTGCTTCTGAAGCTCCCAGTTCCCCCTCGGGTGACCTTACTTTGCCCCTAAAGAGATAGTACATGGAATCTAGGCCGCACCATCTAATGCCTTCCCCTTTCAAAGGGAATGGAGGTTCAGAAACAAGAGCTGACTTACTCCAGGTTCCAGATTCTCTCGTGGCAGAGTTACAATTGGGACACCGGTGTCCTGACTCCTGCTCTTTGGAAACCCGGCTTCCATGGGCTGTGCCGAAGCACTACAGAGGTTGCCCTTGACGAGGCGCCAGCGTGCCTCAGCATATCCTCTGCTCCCGGGCTGCTGAATGGGCAAGTCTGCCCACGTTTCCTGGCAAGGTCACGCGGAGCCCAGGCCCGCTCTGTCCCGTGGGGTGTTCGGAGGATGGCGCTGGCTCTCTGGTACGCCCACATGATCTGGAATGACAGCTGTCCCTCTGGGGATGGTTAACAACCAGAACCACGAGGTTACTGCAGCAGCCGTGTCAGGAAAATCCGAGAGGAGCCCCACTGGTGTCCAGTGAAGAGTGGGCACACGGCTGATGTCACTTTTCCTCACCTAGGCAACCAGTGTAGCCCTCTCCACCCGCCTCTCTCCTCCACTGCCTTGCCCCCCTCGTGTCCTCCCCTGCTAGCTCTCAATCCCTTTCCTCTCTTGCTTATTCCTCTGCGCCCTGAATTCAGATTGACCAGTGGGACACCCCAGCTTGTTTCCCATTTCTCAGCTGTTTTCTGGTGCCCATGCCTTGGCCCGTGCAGGCTGCCCAGGAGCCTCCCCTCAGCTGACGGTGCTCGTGATGGGGGTGAGACTCGACTTTCTCAGGAATGGGACCTGACCTCGCTGCCCTCGCCTGGGTCTGTTTGTCTTGCCTCCAGCAGGGGACGAGGATGAGGATGAGTCCGGCGAGGAGAAGCTGCCGTCCTGCTTTGACTACGTCATGCACTTCCTGACGGTCTTCTGGAAGGTGCTGTTTGCCTGCGTGCCCCCCACGGAGTACTGCAGTGGCTGGGCCTGCTTCTTCGTCTCCATCCTCATCATCGGTGTGCTCACGGCCATCATCGGGGACCTGGCCTCCCACTTTGGCTGCACCATCGGCCTCAAGGACTCGGTCACAGCTGTTGTTTTCGTGGCGTTTGGCACCTCTGTGCCAGGTGAGAGTGCAGGATGCTTGGGTCTGCAAAGAGGATATCACTGGGCTCAAGTGACCCTTTGCCTCATTATCTTCCTTCCCAGCTCAGATCTGGGCTTAATAGCCCCTCTGCCGCTCAGGTGCACAGGAGCCAACCAGAGGTTAATGACGACATCACTAATGATAACTAACATTTCTCGAGCATCTTGATGTGTCAGGCACTAAGCAGTTTCCATGTTTTGTCCCTGTAATGCTCACCACAATCCTATTCAATAGGGACAGCTATTATGCCCATTTGACAAATGAGGAAACGGAGGCCCACAGGGGTTAAGTTGCCTGCATAAGTGACCCAGTTTTGTAACCTCCGCATTATATGAATAGACCGCAAACAATGTAATTCAAAGGATATGGAGAGTGTTCTCCTTCCATCTCCCTCTGGCAGTCCCTGAGAGGCTAAAGACTAGCCTGCTTGAAGGTGTCACAGTAGAAATTCCCACAGGTATTCTTGGCCTCCTCTGCTTAGATGGACATCTGTGAGTAAGAAGTGTCTTCCACTGGATCAGGCGAAGGAAGCTTAGAACCTCTTTGCTTTCTCACAAACACCTAAAGGTAGACAGGAACAGACATGCATTTATTCATTCATTAGACAGATATTTGCATATTTGCTGAGACTGATAGAGCCTTGTGCTAGCTGCTGGGGCTGTAGTGGGAGGCAAGACACACACGCTTCTCCTCTCCATGTGGACTTACAATCTAGTGACAGAGAGTACACTCAGCTCCTGTAATTAAAGTCATCTCGATAAAGTCTGTGAAGAGGAAGTACAGGTGCTGTGCAAGCATAAACGGGGAGCGGGGGAGCCGGGGGGGCGGGTGAGGCTGGGCCAGGGATGGCTTCCAAGAAGGGGATATGTGTAAGCTGGGCTGGGGTGATGAGTGGCATGAGCAGGGAGACAGGGGCTGCATTCACTCAGGCTCCTTACTTGAACCCTGAACTCCTGCTGGCCTGGCAGTTGCTACAGGAAGAGAGAGCATCCTCTGTAAGAGGGTTAGGCTGAGTCTTAGCAGACAGGACTCTGCTGGCAGGGCCAGGGCAACCATCGGGACCAGGGAAACAAATCCTCTGGAGAGTAAGTGAATCTGCGTCACACTCTGGCAGAACCTCTTCCCCACACCACAGCACAGACCAATGGGATTATGTACACATTGGTGATGCCAGAGGTCTGGCTATGATGGAAATGCATCCGGTGGTAGACAGTTAGATGGATGATCCAGGGAAGGCTTTGTGGAGGATGCGCCTGGTGATCTCTGTTCACCAGGTCTCGAGGGACCAGAACTATTGGAGAGGAAGGAGCAGAAATAGGGGAAAAGGAACAGATGTGGGAAGAAATTGCCAAGGATCAGAGGCAAAAAGCAAGGTCATAAGTGAGCAAAGGCAAGAAGTCTTCTCTGGGAGCTCTGAGAAAAGTGGCAGCAAGGAGGCCAGCCAGGGCAGCAGCCGGGGAGTGGGGGCACTTCCAAGTTCTTGCAGTTGGTCCAGGGAACAGCTGGCAGTGTTAGGGGCTTGAAGAAGGTTGTGCCATGGTCTCCTCAGCTAATTCTGTGGCTTTGGCTGAAACTCTTTGGATGTAAGGTGCTGGTAGGGAGGCTTTTAGGATCAAATCTCTTGCTGATTTCCCATTTGACCTTGGGTAGATTCCTTGACCCTTATTTTCCTTCCTTGTAAAATAAAACAGTGGCTATAGTCCCTGACAGTCCCTCCAGGGCCGACCCTCCATGCCCACATCCAGGGCCTGTGCTAGGCACCAGCTGCGAAGGCTCACCTGCACGTCCCCATCGCGTCTCCCCAGTGTGTCCTCTGTCCCCGTGAACCCAGCACCTGCAGTGCCGTAGCCTACGAGCACTGAGCACTAAGCTGTCTGTGTTACGTGAGTAAAGCGCCCCAGGTGACACTCACAGTCAGGACTCTAGTCTGAGCAGCTTCCCAGGATGTCAAGGTTCCCCAGGGAGGTATTATGGGATAACAAACTTCTCTTACTGAAAAAAAAAAAATAGTCAAAAGGGAACAGCAAACCTACTTGGTAAACCTCAGGACCAGAAAGGCCCTTAGAAATCTCTCAGACTCCAGCAGGTGAGGAATGGGAAGCTCAGAGAAGGGACGTGACTTGGCCAAGGCCACACGGCTTGTTAGTCGCAGAGCTGCCTCTGCTTCCCGGGCTCAGCCCGCCGGCCCGAGCTGCCCTTGGGACACATGCAAAGGTAGGCCTGCCTCGTCTCAGCCTGCCTCCAGCTCCCATCCGTCTCTGCCCTTTTCCAGATACCTTTGCCAGCAAAGCCTCCGCCATGCATGACATGTACGCAGACGCCTCCATCGGCAACGTCACCGGCAGCAACGCCGTCAACGTCTTCCTGGGCCTTGGCCTGGCCTGGTCCGTGGCCGCCATCTACTGGGCCATGCAGGGAGAGGAGTTCCGCGTGTCCGCGGGCACGCTGGCCTTCTTCGTCACCCTCTTCACCATCTTCGCGTTCGTCTGCATCAGCGTGCTCCTGTACCGCAGGCGGCCTCACCTGGGCGGGGAGCTGGGCGGCCCCCGGGGCTGCAAGCTGGCCACGACGGGGCTCTTTGTGAGCCTGTGGCTCCTCTACATACTCTTTGCCACGCTGGAGGCCTACTGTTACATCAAGGGGTTCTGAGCCACAGACACGGCCTCTGGCAGGGCAGGCCTAGGACTTCTCCTGAGAGAAGGGCACTTCCCCCCAGGGACCTCCCGGGATGAGCAGCCCTGGAGAGGCGGCTTCAGGACCCGAGCCCCAGGGACTTCACCCGACCTCCACCTGGCGGTGATCTGAAAGGGCAGAGTCTTCATCAATCAGACAGAACGGGGGAAACACCGACACTACCAAGTATTTAATTCAGTACAAACCAACAGCAGCAACACATCCTCCTCCACCCACCTCCCCCGACACCCCTGTCCCCGACCGGTAGCCAAGGTCAGATCCTTTCACCACCTTCTCTTTCACCTTCTGATTACTCCTGTGCTTCTACTGTCATCAGGGCAGGGTTCCTCCTGTCTGTCCAATTCCATGCACCATTGTCCTCACTCACCTGGCGGGCATGGAAATAAGTCTCAGCCACGTGGGGCTGGTTTGGGGCTCTCTCCTTCATTGGAATCATTATGGTGGCTGCTTTCCTTTTCCCGTCAGGTTTTGCTCGTCGTTAGTTCATTTTGTCTTTTCTTTCTGACGTTAGTGACAAAGGTGCTGTGGAGGGACCCAAGGGTTGAGCCGATGGGCAGAGGCGTGAATTGTCAGACACAGGCTCTCCCACTCTCAGCAGGTGACAGCTGTGTCTCAGCCCCATCGAGGTCCTATCCCCCATCTCCTGTTCGTCTCTGGGTGGAAGTGATCTTGCACACCTACGCGGGGCACCAAAGATCCGGGTGGTGGCAGGAGCAGGAGGCGTTTCCTCTGCTGATGCCAAAGTTTAAAAGGAGCAGTCGTCATTCTCTTCCTTGCCCAGGCCTTTCAAATCCTGTCTCGTGCTGTCCATGTCGATATGTCCTTTCTTCTGCAGGAGGGCCCACCCAACGGGAGAAAAGGGACAAAAATAGGAGTGGTGTGGGATGACAGAGGGCAGCTGGGGACACAAAGTGGGTGTTCACCTTCTTGAGTATCTTTGGCTTTGTATCTGAGCCAGGAGACTCGGGATGTCCCACTAGGGAGATGCTTAAGGGGAAAGATATTTAAAATGCCAGGGCTTCTGAGAAAGATCAGCTTCACCCCCACCCCTCACTGTCCGAGGCACCGTACTAAGAGGTCTGACTGTATTTCTTCAGGAAATGCGAAAACGTAGAGGTTTATAAGAAGACAAGGGACCCCTTTCACCTCTCCTGTACCCCGAGGCCACCTTTGAAAGCGTTTTCACAAGATAGGAACTGGAATTCCTCGCCGTCTCCCACAGTTGTGCTTGGTTTAAAACCTCCCGAAGCTCTCCTTCCAGCCTGTGGGCTACTTCTCGTCCCAGTAGGAGGAATCTTAGTTGCCATAATCCCACGGAGCCCGAGTTTATAGAAAAAGAGATTGCCCTGCCCTCTAGAGCTTCTCCCAGCAAACTTTGAAAGGACCTGGCTTTAAACACACACACACACACACACACACACACACACACACACACACACACACGAGATCACAAAACTGCCCACAGATCTTCAAGCTTTCTGCATTGACATAAATACATTTTTAAGGGGGAAAAATATTAAAAAACCTGTTTAATTTTAAACACATTTTTTAAGAAAAAGAAATAACTAAAAAGAAACAGTGCTCATGTCATAAGCTATGTTGCCAGTTGCCAGTGGAAATGTTGGGTTGGTTTAAAAAAAAATAAAAGCTATACTTATATCTCTCTGCATACAGCTTGCTTCTCTCCATGTTTCTTCCGGAGCAGGTGTGGCTGAGGTGAAGGTGCCGTCTCCTCTTGGTATCTCCGGTGTGTGTCTGTCGTCTCCTCAGATGCCAGTGTGCCAGACCTGGTGTTTTTAAAAGCGAAAAGGACTTTGGGGATATTCCACTTGTCAGAGTTTGGACTCCAGGTGCTGGAGGACGTAAGCAGTGGAGTTTCGATGATGAAAGGGGAAGGAACTTTTTGTATTAGAAAGGTGTGGAGAGGCAGGATCCCAGCAAGGCAAGTGGTGCCCTGTGCTCATTACCAGTAGGCCTACTCATTCATTTGATTGCTCAGCATTCATTCAACAAATGTATTTCTGTGCATTGAACTCCATTCTGTTGATGCAGGAAAGGTAAAACTTCTTTTAACTAAAGCTCTTTTGGTTACAAGGAACCGAAACCCATTAAACTAGTTCAGGAAATGGAGGGAGGCAATATTGAGAAGACCTAGGGGGCGGGGCTCTGGCACCCAAGGCAGGAGGCATGGCAGGCCACAGGAGCCTGAAATCCTGCAGGGCCACTCCCTCCCTCCCCCAAAGCACATCGTCTCCCCATCTTTGCTTCCTTCTCCCTGTGGGCCTGGCCCCTCCCCTCCCAAGCTGCTTCTCTGCTTTGCTTGCCTTGCCCATGGTCCAGCAGAGCCACCAGCCCCAGCGCTTTGTCATGACCTCACAGCCCCACATCTGTGTCATGACCTCACAGTCCCCATCCCCAAAGGCCATTCCCAGAAAGCAGAACCCTTTGTAGAAGGCTGTGTCACAGTGGTTGGGGTGCCTGTGCACTGGTCCCTTTGGGTCAGGCGTCTGCTCCTGCCCTGAACAGCTCAGGTAAGGGAGGCTGGCGGGTGCACTATATGCTCTAGTGCCCTTTCCCAAAGCTAAGTGATGGGAAGGAGCGACGGAGCATATGAGCTGCCAAGGTGCAAAGGAAAGTTAGAGTTCTGTGTCAGGTGTGCTCTGGGAGGCATAAGCAGAGTGCTATGGGGACACAATGGAAGGAAACACTCAGCCTGGAACTGGGAAAGACTTCCCAGAGAACGTGACATTTACGTAGAATCTTGAAGGAAGAATACATAGTGATTTGCCTTGGTGAGGGGGCTTGGTGTTGAAGGACAGACAAAAAAGGAAATAGCACAAAGTCATGGGGGGAGGGGCGGGGTGAAATGGGATCAATAGTTAGCACGGCTAGGGTATGGAGTTCAACAGGACACAACCCAGCAAGGCAGGCAGGGAGGAGGGTTTAGGTAAAGGCTTGTTTGGCTTTTTGACACTCATTAAGTTTAAAATGAAAAGTGCCCTTTAGCCAATTAAATGGTAGATGTAAAATCATGAAATCCATTTGTACCCATATGTCCCCTTTTTGCAAGGAGGGAAGGCAGAGGGAGGAATGGAGGGGGAGAGAGAGAATAAGAAATTGAGTCACAATTATGGAGGCTGTCCCATTTTGGGGTTATTTAGATGTTAATTTTCATAAAAGAGAAGCTGGGATGAACCATAGAGAATGGGAAAGGGGGTTCAGAAGAGGAAGTGGGTACTAATCTAGATGCCACCACTAACCAGTTCTCAGAGCCAGACTGGTGCCCTCCCTGCCCTGCTAGACCATGTGGCTTTGCTCCTGACATTGTTGTCCCTTCAATGACACCCTTAGCTTCTCCTCAAGGAGTTATCTCTCCGTAATACAGTCCCTCATGACACCTTTGTTTGCAAAGGAATGTACATCTCATGGCGCTATTTCCACCTCATTTCACTGCCTCAGCAAGTAGATTTTATTATACTTTTCCTAAACTGCTCAGATTTTAGATACTGACATGACACACTACTTACCATCACAGAACACACTCTCCTTCCACAGTTAGTGGATTTTTTTGTTCATTTATATCATGCCCCTCTTGTATACCAAATTAAGTGCCATTAAGAATACTAAGTTAAGGGTCTGACTGTACCACAAGCTAGGTGTCAGATCTGAAGAAGGTCACAACTTACCGAGGTCCTGGACTGTTCATGCATGAGGATTAGAGCAGGTGATTTTCCAGGCTCCTCAGCACCAAAGTTCACTGATGATGCAGAAGAAGAGGAGGTGGAGGATGACTCACAGAGATTGAGCCCCAGGTTTGTACCAGGCACTGTGCCATGTACTTTACCCTCGTTGTCTCACTGAATCATCTTGGCCACCCTGTGAGAAAGGATCATTAGCCCCATTTTATAGATGAAGACACTGAGACTCGGGGCAGACAGGTGATTTGTCCAGAGCAGCAGCAATCAGAATGTGTACTTGGATCCATCCACCCTTAGAAACCAAACTCTAAACAAATGATTCTCCAAGTATAGGCCCCAGATAAGCGACATCAACATCACCTGGGAATTTATCATAAATGCAAATTCTCAGGCCCCACCCCAGACTCTCCAAACTACTAGGGACAGGTCCCAGCAAACAGCGTTTAACAAGCCTTCCAGGTGAATCTGAGGCATGCTCATGTGTGAAGCCCCCTGTTCCAAACCATTATGCTCTACCACCTTTCTATCTTTCTCTCTGTCTCTCTCTTTCCTTCTTTCTACCTCTCTCATCATATTCATCTTATCACATGCTCAAATATGCAGATATCAATACCGCTCTTTAAGCCTCAGTTTCTATTGTATATCCAATTTTATCTTTAAATGTGCTAATTGTATAATTCTTCCCATATAAATATCTCAGTATATCTCAGACATTCTTTAAATGTTTTATGATAACTGCCCTCATTCAGGTTTGCAAGGTGCTCTAAGCCTTAAGGTGGTCACTCCAGTCCAGTAGAAGGAACAGACTTGAGAATTATTACAGTGTGGGTAGAACTATATGCTAGGATGGATGATGTATGGACGGCTGAAGCAGATTCTAAAGCAACATATAATGAACAAAGAAGTTGGAGATTCTTTCTAAAAGGAAGTGACACTTGGGTAGAGTTTCAATCATGAGCCACATGAAAATTATTGCTATCGTGGTCTGTTTGTTTTCATCTTAGTTCTTTATTTAAACATCAAAAAGAAAATCTTTTCGCCAACTGAAAAACTTTAGTTGACTGTTCCCCAGTGACAAATTAAGAAAAAGCCCTAATTCAAATTGTCACCATATTTCCCCCTGAGAGCTCAGGGCTATAGCTGAGGTGAGGACAGGGTTGGAAGCACTGAGATGCAGACTGGGTGAGCCATATGCTGAAGGCCCAGGCATCACTAGCTGGAGGCGGAAGACAGAGGAGGTGCACAGCCGGGCTGGTTGGCAATGCTGCCTGGGGAAGTGGCTGAGAGCAGAGAGTGGCTCAGTTGTGAAGACCTGGTTTCCCGTCCTGCTCTCCTCGTCCTGGCAGGGTGACCTTTACTATGTCACCTGAGGTGCTAAAGACTTGTATTTTTCACTTATTTACATAATTAAGATACTATTATCTACTTTAGAGTTTGAGGGGATTAAATATATAAGTGATGCATCCCACTGCCTTTGTGATCATGTGTTGTCATGGATACTGCTGTTCCAGGAGAAAGCGTGAAATGTGAAGGCATTGAGCAGCGTGTGACACAGGGGGATGTAATATGTGCAACTGGACGAGAACACTCAATGTGCAGGCAGCGGGTTTAGCTGGATGTGCACCAGTGAAGCGTGTAATACCACAGCAATGAAATGCGTACATTTTGCAGGAAAGTGTGTATGGGAGGAGTGGTTGAGGATCAGGACCAGATCAAGATTAGTTTTGTGGGCAAAACTAAGCAATTGTATTTATCCTGAAAGCCATGGTATTAGTCTGTTCAGGCTGCCATAACAGAGTAAGACAGACTGGGTGGCTTAGGCAACAAAAAGTTATATTTTCACAGTTGTGGAAGCTAGAAGTTCACCATCACACTGCCGTCAGGGTTGGCTTTGGTTTGGCCTCTCTTCCTGGCTGGCAGATGGCCACCTTCTCACTGTGCCTTGGCTCAAGTGTCTCCTCCTCTTTCTATAAGGACGCCAGTCCTGTTGGTTCAGGGCCCCACCCTCATGACCTCATCTATATTATAAAACGTCAGTGGCTGTAATGCTGGTACGCTGAAAAGACCAAATGACTGGTCACCAGGAGATGCATTGATGGGTCCCACAGCAGTAGCCGCAGCGGCAGTGGCAGGGACTCTGGGTCTCATGCGATTTTGTGCGCTGGGCCTCTAGTTTAACCATAATTACCTCCTTAAAAAGCCCGTCTCCAAATATGGTCACATTGGAATTTAGGGCTTCAACTTATGAATTGGGGGGGACACAATTCAATCTGAGCTGTCTGCATTGAAGCGGGTGGTTGAGGTGGGGAATGAATGGAGGGAGACCACAGGCCATATACAACTATTGATTGTTGTAGGGAGCAGATGATAGGGGGCCCTACGGGTGGGAAGGAGGGCACAGGGGAAAGAAATGGGAGGGGAATTTACAGGACATGGTGATGAATGCATGGATGGGAGGGAAGGACATAGGAGGAGGCAGGGAGGGCTCTGGGCTCCAGGCCCAGGGAGAGGCGGCTGGTACACCAGCACTGAGGAGAGGTGGGTGGAGAGTGTGTGTCAGGCTTGAGGCATTTTGAGTTTTGGAGCTTGTGGGACACCAAGTGGAAGTGTCTGGGAGCCAGGACTCAGTGGAGCCCGGGCTGGAGGCTGAGACTGTGACAATCTCAGTAGCAGATTTCAGGTGCCGTCGAGATTCCCCTGATGGCTGTGCTGCAGGAGTGAAGAACCCTTTGTGATTAAAGCTATGAGGTTGGGGAGTGTATCACTGCAGCTTCTCCTGGTCTCTCCTGACTGGTTCTCACGAGGCCTTTAGCAATGTGCCCATTGTCTTGTGGGAGGATCATGGACCATTAGCCAGAGTCAAAGCTTTGGCTAGGAAGACTCCAGGCAAAGTGACCTTCACCTTATTACAGAGTGCACCTTGTTAAAGGAAAAACCTGTGGTGCAGACGGGAGGTCTGTGGCTGCATCGATGAGGTGTTGGCGAGGGTCTGAGAGTTTGCCTAGAGTTGACAAGAAATGACAAGAGATGCCTGGGTTACACAGGCTTTTAATAGGCAGGCATATAGCCAAGGAAATGACCCTCGTCCCTATCAGTTCATGGAAGGCACAGGAAGGGGTGCAGTGACCCCAGCCCTAGAATTGAGGGCTGCATTTGATGGCATTCTGTGAAAAAGTTAGCTCTGCCTGTCCTCACCTCTAGATGGGGAAAGGCCGATGCCACAGGCACAAGAGCAGGGTGCCTGGGAAAAGCAGCCTCCTTGGTGGGCCTTGTAGGCATTTGGAAACTTGGGAGTAAATGCCCAGAGGATCAGCCTGGCTTTCTCTGGGTTGGTTTCTACAAGGGATTGGTGCTGCCCATCTCCCATCTCACCCAGGTAACCAGGGTGGGCACCGCCTGGAGGCCCCTCCTTTGATAGCATCATAGGGGCCCCGACAAGATGCCTGGCCCTGCAGCTGTCATCTGTGACATCCCGACTGAAAATGCCCAGTGTTCCCCTCCCCACAGGGGCTAAGCCTGGCTCAGGGCCTCGGTGCAGGAAGAAACTGGGTGGATGGATCTTTCACTTTTTCTTGACTCTTGGCCCTGCTGCCAGTTTGTTGTTGTTTTGTATTTATTTATTTATTTATTTATTTATTTATTTATTTATTTATTTTTTAAGAAAGCAGTGGAAAGCTAAATGAGGCCTCCAGCCAAGTGTGAGCTCAGACCCGCCCCCTTCCCACACCAGGCTGGTCTCTCTGCTGGAGGCTAGGTCACCCCCAAGTCTCCCAATGAGGTCCCGAGTGAGCAAATATCCCCTTATTTCTCTTCCCCAAATCCCTTAAGCATAGGATAGTCCTCTGCAAATTAGCGGCTTTTAATGAGCCTCTAAACTGCTCAGAGAAAAAAATGCTCTCACAGCTGAAGGCAAGCACCCCGGGGCCAGAGCTGGACAGGAGGGAGCAGGATGCTGTTCTAGCCCCTCAAGGAAGGCAGCTGGGGAGAGGGCGGAGCTCTGGGCTGGGACTCAGGAAACTTGAAGGTGATGCCTGGCTCTGCCTTTCCCAGCTGGAGGCAGCCGGCAACTCACTGAACCCGAGGGTGAACCGACCTGTGAATGGGGAGCCCATCCTGCTGGGCTGTGGTGGGTGTTAACTACGACAGGGCCTGTGACACAGCACAGTGTCAGCACTAGAAGAGGAGGGACCCATGTGACAGCGTTCAAAGGGGTAGACCCTTTTCCAGAGATTGGGAGACATTTTCAAGGGGAAATACCTCCTGCTCACCTGCACGTGTCAAGGTCGCAGAGTATGGCAAAAGGATGTGGAGGAGGCGAGGAAGCCCTTTCCCGGGACAGGGGGAAAGACGCCGGGCGCCCTGGAGAGAACGGAGAGCCTGGTCTTTGCTGCCAGTCCTCACCTGAAGTCCTCCCGCTCAGGGAACCACCCCAGCTGCCTTGATCTAAACGTGTCCCCCACAAAACCTGGACCCAGCTGGCAGAACCCCACTGGGGAGCTGTTCCCTAGTCTAAAGCTGCTTCCCAGCCTGGGGTCTTGCAATCTGGATTGAGGCCAATGTGCCCACTCCCACCCACCAGCCTGGAGCCAGGGGATGGGCTGCCCTCCCCCTCCAGTTCCACCCCCAAAGCACAGCCAGTGACGTTCTGTACTTTCCAGGATGGTTTGGAGGGGGCAGCTGAATGGGTGGAGGCAAGAAGGAGAATTACGAAGAGGACACAGACAGTGTAGGCAAGGGCAAGGGGACCAGTCAGTGTCCTCCCAACGAAGTCTGGTGCCACCTCGTGGCCACAGCTGGGTTCCCTCCAGCCTCTGGGACTTCCTAGGATCAGTGTGGAGGGCACCTGAGCCGGGGACAACTGGACCTTTTAGGAAATTATGCGCATCCAGAAGCCACCCAAAGAAAGAGGCAAGAGTCACCAAGGTTTACCCATTTTTATTTGTCATAAAACAAGCTACAAATAGTGTCCCTCCCTCCTCACAAAGGAAAAGCACACAGCACAGCTACACAGGCGAAGAGGAGGAAGCCTGGGGGAGAGCTGGGTTTCTCCAGGAAGCGCCTTCTCCGTGTTGAATACTTCCTGCAGGCCCAGAAGGGGGCTGGGTCTTCCGGCAGGGCTATCCAGTGCCAGCATGCCCAGTTCTCAGGGTGGAAATGGGCGAGGGCTGCCTTTCCACGTCCCCATGTTGGGATAGGGCCTCCAGTCATCTGGAGATGAACTCTAGGACTTCCTCCAGGACAGCCAGAACCTTCAGACCATGTCACAAAAGGCCATGCTCCTTCCGGAGGGCCCTCCCCCCAGTCAGGCCTTGAGGGGCCAGCTCTCCAGACCCAGGTGGGATATACCGTCTGCAAGGTGGGTGCACTTATGGGAACACCGGGACACAAGGCCAAGTAAGGCCAGATTCGCAAGAGCAAGCCCCGGGGGACCCGCCCTCCCTCCCTGCTGCCACAGCTGCTCCTGGGATGAGGCACCAAGCATCACTGCTCTCTGTCTGAGTGGGCATGGTCACCTGGGCAGAGGAAGCTGCTCTGCCCGAATGCGGGGCAGCCCCCACTGGAACCCTGGGAAAAGGTCTGACGAAAGTGAGGCCAGTATTCCCCCAACTGGGTTATTATTCCTGCACTTTCAGAAGAGGCAGAAGTAGGAGGCCCACGGTCAGGGTTGCTGGAATTAGCCTCAAGCCTGGAAGCCTTTAAAAGCATTTGAGGAAACAGGAAGAACCTCAGGGTTAAAAAATAAAACCATTCGGTTACCTACAAGGTGCGGGACCCCACTCCTCCCCCAGGCTGCGCTGATCACTGAGATGGCGGGACGGGGGGAGTGGAGGGAACACCCAGTGTGACCAGGCAGCCTAGGAGGGCCAGGTCTCAGAAGCCTCCCCTGCGGGCCCTGCATTCGCCAATGATGCTTTCTGTCCTCTTCCTTCCGCTGCTTAAATACTGACCTCTAGATAAGAGCCCCACTGTGTGCCTTTTTCCTCTTTGCCCTCCCTCTCATGTTTTACACAGAGTAGGTACTAAATGTGGGAGAAATGTTGATGCAAACCCTCTGAGGACATCTGCACAGGGGGTCACTAGAATCCTGGTCTGCCTATGGGCCCAGGGCCACCTGCGGGTCTGGGTAACCGGGGGAACTGGTGTCTGAGCGGCCTATTCCCCTCCCTCCACCTTTCCCCCAACCCAAGCTCCCTTGAGAAGGTCAGCAGCAATGTGTCTTGCCAACCTTGACAGCTACGACGTGGGGCGATTCCCTCCTCCCACCAGAAAGGACTGGGGGAGTCTGCAATATAATCACAAGCCCCCACCCATGTGCACACGGGGTCAGTTTCCAAACAGAATGCAGGTGGGCTGGGGGCTCAGCCCTGGGTTGTAGGAAGCTGGGCCGTGTGACCGGAGCTCCCACACCCAGAGCAGGGAGAGGGAGGGAATAAACAAACAGCAATGCCAACGCCTGTACAAAAGAACTATACAATTTACATATATATTTATATACAGTATATAAATCTCTTTCTTCTCAGTCCCGCAACACCTCCCTCCCACCCCCCGAAAAACCCCTAAAAGTTGTCAGTAGCAGATCCAAAAACTTACAATAAGAGAGAGAATAAACAATCATTCTTCCCTTTCCTTTTCCCACTGTGGTATTAGATATTGGTGTTTACAAATGAAACCAAAAAGAACACACGCAAATAAGAGTTATTAAAAGTGCAAACAGGGTGGGCACCACTCATGTTACAGGGGATGTGGCTGGGCCGTGGCAAGGTCGAAGGTCAGGTGTCTGCTGATCCGTCCTGCCTCCCTGGTCTCGCCGCCTGCCCTTCAGTTTTCTGCTTCTTAGACGAGGCGTCCTACTGAGAAGGGGCGATATAAACAAGAAGAAGGTAGAGCTGGGTTTATGAGAAAGCCAACCACATGGATCCATTTCCCCCAAAGAGCGGCCTTTTCCACCTGCTACTAGCTATGGGGCAGGACACAGGTAGCCTAGACTTGCAGATGAGCCCATGTTTTCACCAGCCCATTCGCTGCCACCAAGAGGCATCATCACATGGCAACCGGAACGAGGCTGGCTTGCTCTTTGCACAAACCACACTCGTCCCAGATGCCAGCCTCTCACCCGGGGCTGGCGCAAGCGGCCGGTGCTCATCTACAGGTGGGGATGGTGGGATCCTCACAGCACTAACCAACCTTTCTCCTGTATCCTCAGCAAAAAGAGAAAAAAAATTAAATAGGAGGCTAGGTCCTTGGCCAATCCCTCCACTCCCGCTGCAGTACCAAAGCTGTGTGAGGGGGCCCATAGAGCAGACCCCAGAAAGAAGGCAACTTACTGAATGGGTTTGTGCCTGCTCGTTTTCCCTGGGGGAAGCTGCCAAGACTACCACCTGCAACAAATAGGAACATATGACGCTCGAGTGGCCTTGACCCAGGGAACGGGCAGAGCTGCTTCTCCATCCCCTCCAGCCCCAGAAGGAAGTGGACGAGGG